CGCTCAGACAAATGTTTAGCGAGTTACGCTCGGGGTCCACGTAATAATACGTGCTGGTTTTCGAGTGCCTATTACTTTTATCCGATTTTGACTAAAACTGGAACGTATCCAGAACTTGTCGGGCTCTCTACGAACTACATGGCGCCAAAATCCAGATGATAACAGGTAAATGCACTCTGTGGGCAGAAGTCAGGGTTTTTCCGTGTTAATGCAAATGTTATATATAATAAACACTAGCATCTAAAGGGTTAAAGACAGGGAATCCCCGTTTAGTTTTCTTCGGTGTTTCTGGGTAGCGTGGTGGCGTTGTCTGCTATCAGACAAGCTTACGAATGGGGAAAACGGATGCAATACCCAAGAGGAAGGCTTGCAGCACGTGATCGGCATGTTGTGTGGGTGATAGGCCACTCTGTGGGCCAGCGTTGTAATTTGGCATAACTTTGCATCGTGTTCGGCCGACCCTATCGTCAAGGGTCTTTCAAGAACATTACGTAATGTTCATCTGCTTTCTTTCTTTATATATTAGGCAGTTTAGTGCCTGTACCGGTCTCAAAATCCTGTTTTAATGCTCATTTTCCATAAGCCTTTATGACGCGTCCTGGCAAGGAGCTGTTTCCATAGCCACATGACTCATGAATGAATTGGGAAAATGTGGCATAAACGTCAGAGGAAAGAGAGCTATANTATCCCCCCCCCCCCGGTCTATAGGCTTATAACGCAATGTTATATTCAACTACATTCGCCGAACCTCACCAGTTCCGTAATCGTCAAATTAAGAGAATTCTTAACGAGAACTGAACGTGCGTTACTCCGAACCGTCTGTAAACTTCTACCCGACTACACGGCATCACAACCTAACAGACAGTACAGACTCTGATTTCGTTTATTTGTATCGTTATTCATTTCCTATATCCATTGTTTTTGTTTTTCCTTCTCTCTTTCACATATTCTTTTCTTCAATTCTTTGTCCAATAAAGAAATTAATTCCTACTTTTTCTCTTCCGTTTTTGGTGTAAAATAATTTCCTATTATTGGAGGTAATTTCTTTACTTTAGCTTTCACCCCATGAATCAATGAAAAATTCCGATGAATAAAAAGACTCCCTTTAACAGTCCAAAGAACAATAAATGCCACATACTCAACATTACAATAAACTTCTCATTCTGCACGCACAATGTATTTATGTGTTCCTTATGGTTCTCAAAATAAACAGTGACTGTTTCCCTAAACAATATTAACCGGCTGGGCTTTGTAGCGGTGACGTAATGTGTTTCCTGTGAGGTACGGACTGGATTGCTATATATTCTGCCCACAGATTGTATCTGTGTTCTCACAATAAACAGCGACTGTTTCCCTAAACAGCATTAACCGGTTGGGCTTTGTAGTGGAGACGTGATGTGTTTCCTGTGAGGTACGAATTGGATTCGTATATATTTAGACAGCTTTTACGGCGAGGCTACTTCCTCATTCCCGTTGCACCCGCAGCGGTGCATCAGAGCGCTAGAGAATGTAGAGACAAGAACATTACGAGCAGACAAGAGAGAATCAACACGCGTCTCAAATCGTAATGGTCCTGGTATAAATATAGCTTGCTTGTGGATGGAAATAGCTCCCGGGTCGCGTCAGACACGCAGACAGACAGGAAGACAGCGCAAACAAACGGGAAGATATACGTAATTAAGAACATGGGTTAACAGACAGACAACAGAAAGTAGCCAGATTGCAATGACCATTACAGTAATATATTCATCATATATAACGAATTATAACTTCATTATGAGCAAGACAGTCGGTAAAGTGACAGACTATGTTCTGGACGACGGGGGGTGTTCGATCCCCTGCAGGGATAAGGATTTTCCTGAAGATTATGCTTTTCTTGGAGGTAATGCGTGTAGTTCGGTTGAGGTTTGCTGACGTTTCAGAGGATATTCTTCGACCCTGACAACTGAAGCGTGTACGTTTCTGCGAAACGTCGGTAGACTTCTACCAGACTACATGTTATTACAATCCAGACTGTACTCTTTATAGCGACCGCTGAGAACAGAGACTCGCTTCTCCGCAGCGTCCAGACCGGCTCTGGGGCCCAACCACCCTCCTATCCAGTGAGTACCGGAAGTTCCTTCCATGGGAGTAAAGCGGCCGGGGCGTGACCACTCACCTCCAACTTGTGCAGAGGTCAAGAATGGTGGGGCTATACCTCCACCCCTCAACACGTCTTCACGTCATAGTCCTTAATTATCTAAGCACAGGGACAACTTTACTTTACCTGTTTTCCTTATTCCTACGTTCATTCCACCCTCCTCACACATTTCTTCCTTCTTACTTCTTGGCCTCTCCGTCTCCCCGTCCCCTTCCGACATGAACCCACATCGGCAGAAAGTGAAGGTCGCTAGCACTGCCATCTTGCGGAAGTCTTGATGTCTTATTTACACCCGTGAGAATACAAATATGGCCATTTTGGGATTTTCCGATGGCCGAATTATAATCGATTGGTATCTGAGACACGGAACTTCACATTCCAACAGCCGTTACCGCCGCTGCAAGTACGGAGCAAGTAGAAGCAACAGCAGGAAGGCATTAGCACTGGGAAATTCCAGCCATGAAGGCCTCCCGTGCTCTGGAGTCTGCGCACCGACTGGGATGTGTCGTGTGGCGTACAGATTCAGGCATCCCCATCCTTGGTACCAGATGGAGATGAGTGATCAGTTTCACGCTCCGGCAGCTTTAGCCTCGATACCAGCCGGTTAGAACGCAAAGAGAACAGGCCCGGTCTGGACACCCTTAACATCGAACAGAGATTCCGACCAGCCCCGTAACCTAGTCATTATTTTGACTGAGCTATCCCTGCTCCACGTGTCCACAACTTGTGTTTTCGGTGCCCCTTGAAAAAGTCGCAGAACGTTAGAACAGAAGACGATTCGAAAATACAAAATTTTACATTGGATCCGGGACAGCTCAGTCGGTACAGCGACCGGCTATGGATAGGAAGGCCGAGGAATCGTGGTTCGATTCCGGGCAGGGGAAAGCCCTGCTTTGGGCCACACCCAACCTCCCATCCAATGGGTACCGGGGGCTCTTTTACTAGAGTACATCGACTGAGGCATGAAGCTGAACTCTCACCTCCATACAGTGCCGAGGTCAAGAATATGTGGGTCTATAGCCCCACTCCCACATACGTCTAAATGGCGTGGTGCTTAATTAATCACAGGGACAAATTTACCTTTTACAGTTTGATACAATGCTGTTACAATATGAAGAGAGGACTCTGCTGCCTGCTCATCTCAATCTTGGTACCGAAGATGGAGGCAGTACGTTTCTCCGAAACATCACTACGTTCGTACCAGACTGCACGCCGTCACATCCCACGTTACAGCACTCTTCACAGGCAGCGCCTTGAGAGCTTCAGGAAAAGTGGCTTCTCACCAAGGGAAAATAATCATAGAAGTTAGGTCTCTCAGATCTGAACAAAGTATATTTTATAAATAAACAGGAACATGACTGGAAACAGTTTAGGCAAACCAGAGGTTGTAATACTGGAATAATCACGGGAATGTTACGTCACGGCGTCTTCCCTCATTTCACTTCCAAACTTCTCGAAAACCGCTAAAACAAAAACCACTGAACATATACAAGTACTTCTGTTCGAGACATTTCTTGCTAAAGACGCACGCAGAAACGCGTGTGTAGCCTGACAGTCACTGCCCGATTTTAACTAAAATTGCAAAGGTTTCAACGCGGTTTAACCGAACTCCGTAATATAAATTTTCATGAGATTCTGTTCAACTGATCTCGAAGTGTTACTTGACGGACATGTCAAGGGTCTCTCGTCGCTAACACTCACTCATGGAGCTGGGCTCTTCTTGAGGAGCCGCCAATTCTGCAGCTTCTCAAGAATTTCCCAGCATTTTATGGAACCCGAAGGTTCATTACCGTGTTCACAAGAGCCCTCCACTGGTCCATATCCTGAGTCACATCAATCCAATCCATATCATCCCATCCTATCTCTCTAAGATCCATTTTAATATTGTCCACCACCTACACCTTGGTCTTCCCAGTGGTCTCTTTCCTTCTAGCTTTTCCACAAATATGCTATATGCATTCCTCTTCTCCACATTCGTGCTACATGCCCTGCCTACCGCATCCTCCTTTATTTGATGATTCTAAGTACACTTGGAGAAGAGCACATGTTATTCCCGTTGCTAATAAGGGTGGAAAAAGGTTGAATGCATATTTTGCAAACGTTTGCTTTCCTGTTTCGATACGTGCATATTGTTGCAAAGTCACACTACAGTGTCTGGGCGTAATAGTCCTCGCCATGTTTCCGCTGAACCTCACCTAAACCGGTGGTTCCCCGAGTGCGCACCAGCACACGTGTTCCGCCATTAAAATCGAGTAAAGACGGCCCTTATGCAAATTCCTTTACAAAATAAAGTCAATGTATACAAATCTCTCGATTTAACGTGTTCATCACAACTTTTCAGATCTATATAAATTATACAAATATATTCATTCATTCATCAGTAATCTGTCAAGACGACAGGTCCACAGTCTCTTCCAAAACAGTTCCTCCACTTGATGCGATCTAGAGCTTTCTCCTTCAAATAAAACTTCCTCTTCTGTTCCCAAAGTCATCGAGCATCTTCTTACGTCCTCTTCCTCGTCTTCTGGTCACTTCTATCCGCCCCTCCGGTTTGTTTTGTCTCCAGAGGAAACATCTCGCATGCATGGTATCTCTGTTTTTGGAAAGAGACTATCCAGGAAAAGTAATAATGTGGTAGTTTTCCATTTGCTTTCCATATATATATAAATTCTGTGTCTGATTGGATTTTGGTCGAAAAGCCAGAAGGAAAGAAACCACTAGGAAGGCCAACACATACGTGGGTGGATAATATTAAAATGGATATTAAGAGATAGGATGGGGTGGTATGGGCTGGAATAGGATAGGAACAAATGGAAGGCTCTTGTGAACACGGTAATGAACCTTCGGGCTCCATAAAATGCTGGGAAATTTTTGAGTAGCTCCACAACTGGCGGCTTCTCAAGAAGGGCTCAGCTCCATGAAGTTAGCTGATGTCTGATTGGTATGATTTAACAATGGTTACTTGTACTACTACTACTACTACTACTACTATCGCTCTTTGTTGAGAGTCGCAGATCAAGCTATCATATTCTCCGCTAGTATTGTTCCTTGTTCGAATGAAGATATGAAATCAAGCTTTCAAGTTGTTCCCCTCGAGGGTGTGGTCTGTAACCTGGAAAGGTTAGGGAGCCACTGTCTATAGAAACAAACGCCTAAAATTGCCTAACATCAGATCTAAAATATTTTTTTCAAGTCTGGAGTTACGGTGCAAACGTTATGAGAATTCTTCCTCTCAAATATAGTAATATGAAAGACGAAAACAGAACTAGTTTGCCTGTCCATGTAATTAAGCAGCTGGCCCTTCTATACTACATCCACTGTATGAACGAGGGCACGTCATCATCAGCTGGTGCCGTAGAACGTTACGTCATCATTAGAAAGTTACTAGATTCTGTTTTCAAAGTACGTCTCACAATCATAACTCGGTGGGAAATCGAAACATACATACATACACAGGACTTATCTTCCCACAAGGCTTCCTACACAAGCTATGACGCACCCTGGTTCGCAGAGTGGATTGAATCTTCTTATATACTACATTAAATTGCCTGCATAAGACTCGAAACATCTCTCTCTAAATATTAACAGAAGTTTGGTATAGATCTACGACATCTGTTGTCAATTAATTAAACTACTTCGACTTTCTTCCGATGACGTTTTACAGTCGATAAAGAAGCTAACGTAATCCCTACGATACGCCGTCTCACAGCCGTCAAAGTACGTGAATGGATTAATGGATCCTTCTTGTAATACCTTAATGGGCTGCAATGTGATATTACGCCACGTTAAGTCAGAATGGAAGCTAAAACCTTGCAGCGACACGACTAACAATGTTATGTTCCATTAAGAATCAGGCGTAACAAGAGATGAAGAGAAACGCTGCTAGCCGAGTCCGACATCCAGCATCATCATAATGACAAACCCCCAGATGACTCCCCACGTCGCGTACTTGCCGTTCCCACTGAAACAGAAAATAAAAAACAACACTCCATTAAAAATATTTTACTGCTGACAAATGTGATTCGGTACAGCGACTGGCAACGGGCTGGATGGCCGAGGGATTGGAGTTTGAGTCTCGCTAAAGATAAGATTTTCCTCCTCTCGATGTCGTCCAGTCCGATTATGGGACCCACCCAGCCTCCTATCCAATGGATACCTAGGGCTTTTCCCCCCGAGGTAAAGCGGCCGGACGTGAAGCTGACCACTCACCTCCAACCAGTGCCGAGGTCAATAATACATCCACTCCCCTATACGCCTTCATGGCGTAGTGTGCTTAATTAGTTAAGCACAGGGACAACTTTATCTCATACCGTCGACAGATTTAAAAACTCCAGTTCAAAGTTACGTTACGAGAAGTAATTTGTGAACCTTTCTACAGGGAATGTTTATTTATTTATGGATGGCCGTCAGATGCTGACTTCTCACCGTGCAGACCCGCGTTCAGTCCCGTATGACATCATGCGAAATTCGTTGCGGGACATTATACTGGAGCAAGGTGTTTCAAGAGTTTCTTGAGGCCCCGAACCAGGTCGCTGGCACAGTGAATATCAGACGTTTCGTCCGTGTTTCAGAGGAAGCAGCATGCCAGTGCGATAACCCAGTACACGCACAGGAATGCCCCTGACACACTCAAGCTGTAGGACAATGCCTCGAACAAAGTTCGTAACAGTATCAACAAACGCAGAGTACCGAAAGGGATGCAACTCCTTGACATTCGCTGACCCGACAGGGTCTGATAAACCAGACGCAGTTAAAATACTTGAACCCATATGGGTCAAATTTGATAGACCCCCCCCGTCTGCACGCAGCATTTGGAATTCGCTTTGGTGATTGAAATATATAAAATATTTTCATACCCTTAAGACGGAGGCCGAAATGTTTTACTGCTATAACATTACATGACGTCACATCTCAAACGAAAACCGAAATCTTGATACATGGCGCGTGATTAGATATTTTGAAGTCGGTGACTACAAATATTGGTATCTTCTTCAGGGATGTACCGATATATATAACTAATCTGAGTTTCAATTTGTGTTCTCACCCCCTTTCCACCCCATATTTTGTTTTCTATTTTATGAGATTATTTTATTTCTATTTACTTTATTTTGGATAGGTTTGTTGTCTTTCTACTTTTTGCTTTGCCCTGTTTACATTTTACCCTTTACTTCTCTATCAAAAGGAGTGGCCTCTGTTAGCCACAGATTCCAACTTGGGAAGACAATAAGCAAATGAAGAAAATAAAAAATGGATAAAAGGAAAAACGAATAAAGGGAAGGAACGCACAGAGAGGACTCCACATGCCACTAACAGCACGGATGTGCTCCAAGTCCAGTGCTTCACATCTTCCATCTTCTCCAAACATCGGACGTACGTAATCACTGCTCGGAGTCAATCTCAAAGTCGAATGTCATTCATAAAGTCCTTTTGCGTATGTAGAATTAGATAAGGCGCTAGTGACGTCATTCAATGACGTACGTCTTCCACTTCTGAAGAAGGGGTCCTATTTAAAAGCCTTGAGCTCTTACTCGGTACAATCACCCACTATTTGCGCAATATTGCCTTCTTTTGTTATCAGCTTGGCACGACTGAACCCACCACAGCAGTTTACAATATTATTTACTTACTGAACCCTTCCAAGCTCGCAATTCATCTAAATAATACATACAAATTCAGTTCGTACCTCACAGGAAATACACCTCTCCATAACAAAGCCCAACCGGTTAATGCTGTTTAGGGAAACAGTCGCTGTTTATTGTGAGAACCATACAGAACACATAAATACACTCTGTGGGCAGAATATATAGCAATTCAGTCCGTACCTCACAGGAAAAACATTACGTCTCCATAACAAAGCCCAACCGGTTAATGCTGTTTAGAACAGTCGCTGTTTACTGTGAGAACCATACGGAGCACATAAATACATAGTGTGGGCAGAATGTAGGTGGTATCATATAGTAATTGGGAGCCCGGATAGCTCAGTCAGTGTAGTGAACAGGCTAAAGGCAGGACGACGAAAGAATAGGGAGTCGATTCCCGGCAAAGGCAAGAGATCATCTCCACAGCGCCCAGACTGGTTCTGAATTTCTCCTATACAGCAGCCTCCGAGGTCTACATCCCAGGGCCAAAGCGGTCGGGGCGTCGAGGTGACCATTCGTCTCCATCTAGTGCCGAGGCTTAGAATACGTGGAGCTATACATCTATTCACCACGCGCCTTCATGTCTTGGTGCTTAATTCAGTATAGGGACAATCTTAATTTTTCTGTACGCTTTCCACGATGAACGTATTCTCAGCGTGCCACACCACACGATGGGATGACCAGGAAAGGATATGTAAGGAGCCGATGGTTGAATCGTCTGAAGTAATCCCGACAGTTGAAGGCAGAGCTCCTTAAACTGTGAGGAGAGAAATCAGAGCCCCGTACCAAACATTTAATTACGAACAAAATGTTTTAAACACAAATTCTGCCCGGCTCTCTTCATCTGGCGACGAATGCGAGTAATGCCGACAGATGGCAACACCTCACGGTCCTAATTCTTTTAATTTGGATTAACAATTCTGACGGGTCTTTAACTGAAGAAAGCAGGTACACATTTTGGGGACTTCGTTTGAATTTGGGATTAATGAGCGCTTTTTCTCTCATTGCGTCACACCCAAACCTGCGACTGCACCACTACTTCCCACCCCCAATATTTCAACCAGTGGGCAAACCCTTACTTCCTGGGCTGTGGACGTGGACTCCTGGCCAGTCACGTTGGCTCAGCCGCTAGTGCTTCTGATTTGTATTCGTCAGGGTAGCGGCTGTCCTGTCCGAGGTACTTCGTAATGCCTATCTTGAAGTACAATCCAAACATCTGGTTGAAGGGACTGAGGAAAGGAACGACTGACCTTACACATGAGATCTGAACCACGGACCGATAGGGATAGTGCAGCAGTAATGGTGGTCGTTTCGAATCTCGGCTGGAGTCACCTGACAACCTGTGGTGTTTCGTGGTTTTACTGAGTTCATCCAGCTAAATACTGGCAGAGTACTTCAAACTTTGGTCACGAGCGCTTCCTTCCAGATCCTTGCCAATTCATTATTCTCTAATCGCTGTCATCAGAAGACACACAGCCGAGAATGGGGGGGGGATATGAACACAAAATGGAGTTCCCATTTCTGTCCCATTACGGAGCAGATGTAGGCCATTTCTTGCGTCAGTGCAGCGACCCTTGGCGAACTGCACTTCAATGGCAGAGGAGGAAACAAATGATGGAATTTGTAAACAAAACAGAGCACGATTAATGCAGCGCCCACAGATGCTGGGTCCAGGCAGCTCGCACCCGGGACCCACAGACAATTTGGTACATATTTCAGAACATCTCACAAGCGGATCTTGTCTTCCGGGGCGCAACACTTCTGTGTCTGAATCATATATCGACCAATGGTACGGTGACGTAGGTAAAGCTATCCCTGTAACAGGCCGTGGAGGGCCATTGGGTTTCTGAGACGTCGAGGCTCCCAGATTTTCTAGACAATAGGCTCACAGATGGCGGTGAGGTTGTCAGCCTTACGCGCCAGCCACCCTTTACCCCCAAGGATATTCCTGGTACTCATTTCTGTTAGAGGCTGAGTCGACCCCAGGGCCAAAGTGCGGCTGGAAGGATTAGGTCAATTGAAAAATCCAATGACCTCATCGGGAATCGAACCGACGACCTCCAGGCTTGTAGCATAGTGCCTCAACCAACTACGCTACGCGTGCCCCCTGACTGATGTATAATGAACTGGAAAGTATTTGCAAGGAAGTGGTTATTGTCTAATCGAGGTATCCCGCAATTTGTCTTCAGGGACTGAGGAAGAACAAGAAAATCCTGAGCCAAAGTAACCTATGTCCCGGCACAGATTCGAACCAAGCAACTCTCGAATACGAGGGCAAGGCGTTACCACTACGCTGACCTGCACGGTGTGAAGCCGTGTAATCTTGTTAAGTATAACGACGTTTCGGAGGAACGTACTGCTTTCTTCCACGTGGTTGAAGAATAGGCCGAGTGAGCAGCAAACAGCAGGTTCTTCCGGAACGTCGATGGACTTCAACCAGACAAAACGGCGTTACATCCCGGAACACAGTATTATTCACTTCATAAGCAGTTTCGAAATTTACACATTTCTTTGGGCGACTGAATAAAGAAGAACGTAATTTCTTTCCTCTCCCGTGCGTGCTACATGCCATGATTTTCCCAGCCTCCTCAATTTTATCGCCCTAATAATATTTTTGCACGAAGTACAAGTTATGAAGTTCCTCATCATGCAATTTTCTCTAACCTCCCGTCACTTCAACCCCCTGAGCACCCTCAGTCTACTGGATTCTAAAGGTTTGATAATGGTGTGCAACACTCAGAATTACTTGGGTTTTTGCACTTTGTCCATCTTCCGGCATCCTAGAAACTATAGAACACGACGTTTCGAAGACTGGATCTGTTTCCGTCCTCAGGTGATGGGGGAAAAGGCACTTACTCTGTTGAGTCCCTTAGAGAGAGCTAACCTCAGTCACTGGACAGCCCCTACAAGATTCACACAGCTATTTAATTACCTGAGTCCAAGCTAATTCAGCGGGAGTTTACAAGAAGAAATGCAACAAAAATTGTGATAAAGCTCGCACATGCGTGGAACTAGGATAGAGAAGGAGGTAGAAATTTGTGCTACAAACCTAGGCAACAGAACCAAGTGCATGAGCACCAACCGTTCGTCACGAATCCATGGCATGACGTAACAGAACAGACACCTGTGTCCCCAGTTCTCACGCTGTGACAGTTCTTCTGGGAAATATTATCGTATGGGGAAACTAAACTGAATTTTTGACTTCCATTTGTTCTGCTGCTGACGATCACACACCAGTGGTGCACTGCTATGTGCTGCAGCCCGATTATTTGCTCGTGGCAACTGTACTGCGCAATACGGAAAAGCGAGACACAGGAGAGTGGACACGATGTTCTCGGATGTGACGCCGTGAGGTGTGGTTGAAATTCTATAACGTTTCGGAGGAACGTACTGCCTACATTTTCACGGCCAAGGATGTTTTTCATAGTCACAATTGTGAGAACGTCAAATGGGGTACTAATGATTTGTTACTTTATTTGTAGAATGAGCAGAGAAGAGCGAGTAAGGAACCTTAAGAATACGTAAGGAAGAAGCAGTTGTGATAATATGTGTTTATTCTGTGTTTGTGTTGTCTTGTGTTTAGGGAGAGGCCTTGTGACGAGCTGATAAGTCGTCCAAGGAGCCCCACCGTCTGTAAAATGAACATGAAATTGAAAATCAGGGGTCAGGTCCTAAGGGGGTTGTAGAGCCAGTGAAAAAAAGACAAATACTAGAGTACTGAACTACCTCGTACATAGGTAACTGGCCCACACCCCACCACTCCCTAAGAGACTAACTTCTGCGCATTCAAGAGGCAGTTGTATCCACAAAATAGCAGCACTTTACATGAAACAAAATTCTAGATTCAATCACATATATTTTCTCAAGCGAACATTGTTTTGTAAAGCAGCAGCGAACACAGAAAGCACTGGAGCTCTTCAAATATTTGATTCAATATTAATGTTAGTCAAGAGAACATGGCCATTTTGCATATCAATGGTTGTGAATGCAGAAGGTTCTGGACAGAGATTCCTAATAACACACACACACACACACACAACACGAGTACTAAAATGAGTAACTGTTGGCGTGGTGAATTACAGGGTTCTGCAGGATCCGAGCTGTAAATCTTAATATCATTTACACTGTAATAATGTTTCTAAGACATCATTGTACAATTTTCAGACGTCAAAGAGCAGTGATTCATTTCGCGCTACCGTCCAAATTGTTATGTTTCTTCTCTTCCTATCTTAAGAAATTCTGTATCGCAACGCCTGTTCCGGCCTCAAAATATTATTTCCGTCGTCCCCTTGGCCTTACACTTTGTCTCCTCGATTTACAGTCGAATCCTCCTTATCCTTTGATACATATCGTCATTTTTCTACATGGTCTGTCCATCTTTTTCTATACGTGATAATTTCAAAAGTATAACTGATTTTCTTTAAAAGACCGCAAGAAACAGACCATTCGGGAAAACTTGGACAGTATTAAGAAAGATTTTCATATGAAAAATTCTGTTCACAGTTGAGTACGTACTCTAAAAGACACGTGGGATTTAGGAGCAAGGGGATTCTCAGACTGTGTTGAGGGCAGCTGGAGAGGCTGAAACCGCTCAAGAAAATATCACAAGATTGGCTTGAGCTGGATTTCAGCTTCTGAGAGAGGAAGAAACTGCTGCAGTAATATTTTTCTTAACTTCATTTTCATTACAATTATCTGCATTACTAAATCTTACAATCTATTTCTTTACTAAGTTCTTTTTGTCTTTTAGGGCTATCTTATGTTTCACCAATCCGCAGGACCTCTCCCCAGTTAATCCGGATTAGCGAGGGTTTACTGGATTAGAAACGCGAAACTGATGTTAGCCCGGGCGGGGTCTTACTGTATCTGGAATAACGTTCTCTTCCTTATTAGGACAGAACTAGACGTTTTACATACTTCTTTTTATTGGATTCACTGTTTTGGTAGATAAGGTACATAATTACCCATTTAAAGCACAGAGGTAATTATATGTACCACTCGTTTTAACATTAAGAAAATGTACACTATGCCCACAAAGAGTATTTATGTGTTTCGTCCGACACAAAGAGGAGTGGTTACTTTTATGAACAGCATTAACCGATCGGTGTTTCCTGTGAGGTACGAACTTGGTTTCTATATATAATTAACACGAGTTTCCCGTCATACACAATACTTTTCTGCTCATAACAAAGTCTGCTTCTTAAGATTTGACCTATTTCACTTCCCAAAGCTTTACCCTCCTAACCTTAGAAACCGTAAAATGTTTCTGGCCCCCTTCCCAAAATTTAGTTTCTCTCATTGTCGCGCCATTTTCTCTTCTATCCGTCTGTGCCTTCACAGAGTTCCAGCCGAATTCTGCTGCAGACGCAATGCCAAAACAAATACTGTTTGTGTGTTACGAACAAAGACTCACGTCAATCCAAATGTTATTGACGTTTCTTTTGTACCGTCTGTCCAGCGAGCAGAGGTAAAACATTATGAGATCACACGTCCGTTTGTGTGTGTCCTAGTTCAACACATTCATACTAACTGGTCGAACATTTATACTGCTCGTAGCGCGGCCGGCCACTGGAATGCGGGGGGGGGGGATGAAAACATGCCTCACCCCCTCGGAGTTCGTAAAAAGAATAAAATTGAAGAAAAAACTGTGAAATATTATCGTAATCGTAATACAAAAAATGGAGTCATTTTTACGTCCTGAATTCTTAATTTTCTTAAAAAGCTTAAAGGTGAGCTTGTGAGCAAAGTTTGCTGCTGTGCCCCTTACCCCAGGAAACAAACCTGGTGGAGCCCACTCGGTGGGACGGGTGTTCAAGTCCCGTAATGAGAACAAAGGGTACAATTAAAGCAAGGCAATTAATGACTATGAGAATTGACGCCGTGTAGTCTGGTAGAAGTTTACCGACGTTCCAGAGGAACGTACCTGCCTCCATCTTCAGGATCCTGCCAGCTGCTTGCTTAGGTTACGACAGCGGAGATGGCGGCAGGTATGATCCCTCATACTTCGGTAAACTTGTACCAAACCACACGGCGTCACATCTCAGACGACATTACGCGCATGTACTTTGCTTATCACTCTGTCCGGAAGACATTTTTCTTCCCGCTTAGGATCACAGGATTACGAAAATGTCCGTAGGTTTCTGAAACAGGCATCACAAAATTTGTTCACCCCTGTGAAACACGAATCACAGGTGTTCGATCACCTGCTCCTCGTGATGCGTGCTGCAGCTGTGTGCAATAAACGGAGCGGTGCCTTCAGAGGGGGTGGGGGGAGGGGGACACGTGCTACACGGCCGTGTTTTTCTGGTTCAGCATTTCAAAGGCAAATTCAAAGTAACAGAGAAGCAGACTCTGTCATATTTTACATCCTAGGGTTCAGAAGGATCAGACAATCTGATAGAACTAGGCGTAGATGGAATGTGAAGACAGAGGGGAAAGTTCTGGGACCAGGCAAATCCTGACACAGATTTCACTTGGTTTTCCTCTGTCTTCAGGCAAATACCGAGATGGTTCCCAAGTTCCAAAAGTTCCTACTTCTTGCTTCTGTTGCAGTTCTCCCGACTTAAATACATAAGAATTACGCCCTTAACCTTCTAATTTCGCCAAATTATTCTTTCCCCCCAAAGAATGCAACTGACCATTCTCTCACTCAAGGAGCTGAGCCCTTCTTGAGGAGCCGCCAATTCTGCAGCTACTCAAGAACTTCCCAGCAATTTATGGAACCCAAAGGTTCATTACCGTGCCCACAAGAGCCCTCCACTGGTCCCTATCCCAAGCCAGATCAATCCCATCCATACTATCCCATTCTATGTCTCTAGGATCCATTTCCATTAAATTCGTAAAATCTCTCGCGCCTTGTCTCTGGCCATCTCGACGTCTTCACGTCCGCACTGTCCTTACCAGAAGGACTAGTGAGCGAAGCCTGGGAACTTTCTTTCTCTCGCTTTTCGAGATTCGAACGATTAAACAGACTGTGGCATTTCTCTTACCAGGTGTTGGCTTCTGGTATGACGTCATTCGCAACAACGTATATCATGGCCCCCGCCGCGAAGGACAAAGCATATGGAAGGACCGGTTCTGCGAGGGTGACCGCCGCCGCCCCCAATACGCCGAACACGGGCTCCACCATACCGCTCAGCTGCCCGTAGCTGCAACATTACCAACATATCTGTGAGCCAGGATTCTGTTCCCGGTAAAGGTAAGACATTTTTCTCTACTCCACAGCGTCCATACTGGCCCACCCAGCCTCCTATCCAATGGGCACCGGGGGTAAACCGACCGGGGCGTGAAGCTGACCACTCACTTCCATCCAGTGCAGAAGACAAGAACGGTGGAGCTATACCTCCACTCCCCGACACATCTTCGTGGCAGAGTGCTTAATTAATTAAGCACAGGGACAATTTTACCTGTACCTTCAGGAAATATACCAGACGCACATGCACCGGGCTCCGTGCTGGATGTCCTTGAGGAGTGGCAGGGCGACAGAACAGCACGAAACGCAGAGGACTGCTCTATCTGGCCCAAGTTTCTTCCGTTTGAATGCTGGTATCTCCACACCACATCCTTCCTGCCGCTCCACGTGCGGCCACGGCAACAGTGGCTCAAGTAACAACTGTCGTGACGCAAAGAAGCCGAACAGTGGGTGAAAACGTACAGAAAGAGTACCATTTGGTTAGAAGGTACCCAGGTTGCGCCTGCTCGTCCTTCTGGTAGGGGCAGTGTGGACCTGAAGACGTTAGCATGGTTAGAAGCAGTGGCTTGAGCCAGGGGCCGAGGGATTTTGATTTCCTGAATTACTCTCGAAATTTCCTGAATTAACGTCAAGATGCATAATTTGGAGAGATAACTTTGTAGCTTTTACAGCAGATAAAGGGGGAAGAAAGGTAAAGCTATCCCTGTAACAGGCCGTGGAGGCCCATAGGATTGTGAGGCGTCGAAGCGCCTAAATTTTCTAGACAATCGGCTCATAGATGGCGGTGAGGTTATCAGCCTTACGCGCCGGCCGCCCTTTACCCCCAGGAAGATTCCTAGTACTCATTTCTGATAGAGGCTGAGTCGACCCCAGGGTCACAGTGAGGCTGGAAGGATCAGGTCAATTGAAAAAATCCAATGACCACATCAGGAATTGAACCCGCGACCTTCCGGCTTGTAGCACATTGCCTCAACTAACTGTGCTACCGCGTGGCCCCATTTTCAGAGGAAGGGATTCCAATTCTGACGTATTTAAATCGTGGGTGTGGGCTCTGCACGAGAAGCTGACAGTAGCAGTTCGGAACTTGGGAACTATCTCGGCACTCGCTTGAAGACTGAGGAAAACCAAGGAAACCTGCGTCAAGATGGCCTGTCCCAGGGCAGTTCCCTAGCCAGTGTAGAGTAGTACACAGTACAGACGGGCACCACGCCATGTCCTCACACGAGCTGCAAAGTGCACTGATGCTGACGGTGGAATTTTCGCAAATGTATTGTACTCGGTAAACTGCACCAACTTTGTCACTCGAGCAATAAATACCGGCATTAGAAACAGCACGTAATATGTCTTTCTTATCAACAGTTTTGCAACTGTACAGTGAAATAGCTGTATCTCGGAAACTGTGAATAGGACACATGTACACATACACCTTTTTTTTCGCTTAGAATGACCGATACTATGACCTCCCAGATTACTGACCTTTCCTCCTGAGGCACCCTTTATAGCGTTGAATACTATGATGAATTATGAACCGGAAGGAAGTGGTCGTGGCCTAATCGAGGTATAATTTAGTTATTTACTTGAAGGGACTGAAGGCGGTGTTCCTGTGGAGATTCGAGCTCAGCATTTCCAGGTTACCGCAAAGTCAACCCGCTCGATGCAGTGTTAATTGGTTGTAACACATCGACGCAATTGCCGTTAAGATATCAGTGATTTGTCCTTTATGCCACTGTTACGTTTAATTAGCAAATCTGACGTTGTTGCTACATTCATAAGTGCAGGAGCTGTCCATTCAGACTGCAGCCCCTTCACTCCCCACGATACTCACGGCCCCGGCTTCTTCCTTAACCTTTTAAAACGTAACGACAACTATATCATACCTAAAAGTAACTAAAGTTGTCCTCAGATTTAACTAATTACGCACTACGTCATGAAGACGTTAATGCTATTTGGGGAAATAGTCGCTGTTTATTGTGAGAACCATACGGAACACACAGATACTCTGTGTGGGCAGAATATATAGCAATTCAGTTCGTACTTCACAGGAAACACATTACGTCTCCGCTACAAAGCCCAACCGGTTAATGCTGTTTAGGGAAACAGTCGCTGTTTATTGTGAGAACCATACGGAACACACAGATACTCTGTGTGGGCAGAATATATAGCAATTCAGTTCGTACCTCACAGGAAACACATTACATCTCCGCCACAAAGCCCAACCGGTTAATGCTGTTTAGGGAAACAGTCGCTGTTTATTGTGAGAACCATATGGAACACACAAATACACTGCGTGGGCAATATCGCAGCAAGTTTCCGAATGTTAAAGGACGTGGTACATATAGTTACCACTGTGGTTTTAAACGCTTGACAAGTGCATTTACGTAACCCCTCGTTGCGAGTGTGCCAAAAAGAATCCTTGTCTCTGCTGGGATTCGAGTTGCGGTCACCTACACCATAGCTACGTTTAGGGAGTTCACTAACAAAGAGTTCTGGGTGTCTTGCAGCGAACATATCGGGTCGCTATCTGCTTCCCTTTGTATTGTCTGACGACGACCTGACCTCGCGAGACGGCGGCAGTCCGAGACACAATTCCCGCCGCGTACTGCGTACCTTTGTCTGTCAGGGTCGCGGTTCACAAGAATTATCAAAAGCCGAACTTTCTGACGCCTTGCGTCTCAGCGACATATCGACGCCATAAACAGGAAACCCTGTCTGCACCAGAGGTCCCAGGTTCACACCCTTAGCTAACGTCTTGGTGTAGTTCCACATTCAGGACGGCAGAGCGGGCTGGAGTAGCGGTAATCTCAAACCCCTAGTCGGGAGGTGTTCAGTTCGAATCTGGATAGGAGCACCGGTTATCCTGGTCAGCGGCTCGAGGCGAATGCCAGGACAGTACCGCGTTTAGGCCAGATCCCCTTCTTTCCAGGCCCTCTACAACTCTTCATTCGGTTCGACGCCAAACAGTCTGACTGTTCTTGGTGTCGGCTTGAACCGGTTCTCCATTCAAAACATTTTGCCTCTTGTTGCAGATATACCTAGGAATGCCAGGTTCCTCGTGGGTGGTCGGCCACTTCAGTTGGTATTGCAACGGATTACAGGATCGACTGTCTAGGAATCGGGTTTCGATCCCCGGCAGGGGAAAGAGATTTACCTCTTTTACACAGCGTCGAGACCGGCTCTGAGATCCACCCCGCCTACTATCCAGTGAGAAAAGGGGCTCCTTCCCCGGGGGTAAAACAGCCGGGGCGTAGAGTTAACTATTCCCCTCTAGTGTCGAGGTTAAAATGCCTGGAGCTACAGCTCCACTTCCCCATACGGCTGCAAGGCACGAGACTTAATTAAGCAAAGGTATAAATATAAGTAGAAAGGCACCCGCAACCTCCGAAGTGTTCGTACCTATCTACCAAACTATACGGTGTCACATCCTGAGAGTATTCATAAGGAAGTTTCTGGAGGTGTGAGGTGGTAAGGTATTTGATGCTGTACTTAATTAACCATGATGAGATTGGCATGGCATGTAGCACAAACGGGGGAGAAGAGGAATGCATATAGGACATTGGTGGAAAATCCAGAAGGAAAGAGATCACTAGGAAGACCAAGATGTAGGTGGGTGGGTATTATTAAAATCGATCTTAGAGAGGATGAGATGTTAGGTACTGGATTGATCTGGCTCCGAATAGGGAGCAGTAGATGGCTCTTGTGAACGGCACTGAACCTTGGGGTTCCACAAAATTTTGGTAAGTTATTGAGTAGCTGAGCGACTGGCAGTTTCTCGGCAAGGGCTCAGCTCCATGAACTTAGTTAATTAACGATGATAGCGTAAGATGCAGTAGTGGGACAGCTCCATGCTCACTTAACTGCGGGCACTACAGGTGAGTGCTAAGCTTCACGCTTCGGCCGCTTCACCAACAGTGAAGAATCTCCTTGAATTCTCGCGATAGGCGGGTTTGGGCTACTGAACCGCTTTCAAAGTTGTGCGGAAGCGAAAATCTCTGGTCCTGACCGTGAATGGCACCTCGGTGGATGCCTCCCGTGATTTTCAACTGAATGAACGCCAGTGGAACCTGTGCGGGCTGCTGTGGTTCTGTGGCCAGTCTGTGTGAAGCGGTTCGGGTCGGCGTCACAAACACGTACATAAACACCTCGCCCACGACGCATCACGCAGACAACAAAAGCTGCAAGAAATAGGCCCCGACTTCTTCCTATTGCAGCCAAGTGACTGCTGTTGCAGGCATTTACACCCCACTTCCGGTCCCCCCTCCCCCAACTTCCGGCTCCATCTCTGTCACTCCCAGCATCACGGGTTGGAAGGTCACACACAGTATCACGGCTCAGCTGTGGTTTGCCACGGCTAAGCGCGATTCACTCGGTCCAGACGGGCTGTACCGCCGGGGTTCGATTCCCGGAAGGGGCAAGAGATTCTCCTCTTCTGTATGGCGTTCAGACCGGCTCTGAAGCCCACCCAGACTCCTATATATCGGGTACCGGTGGGCTGTTTCCCTCGGGGTAAAGCGGCCGGGGCGTGAAGCTGACCACTCACCTCCGTCTACGACCCAGGTCAAGAATGGTGGAGCTATACCTCAACTTCCCAAATGCATCTTCATGACGTCGTCGTTGATTAATTAAGCACAGGGACAACTTTACATTTGTCACACATAGGGACTGGAAGAGGGACACGCGGTAGAGTAGTTGGTTGAGGCACTGTGCTACAAGCCGGAAGGTCGCGGGTTCGATTTCCGATGAGGTTATTGGATTTTTCAATTGACCTAATCTTTCCAGCCGCACTATAGCCCTGCGGTCGACTCAGCCTCTAATAGAAATGAGTACCAGGGATCTTACTGGGGGTAAAGAACGGCCAGCCTCGACGTCTCACAAGCCTATGGGCCTCCACGGCCTGTTACAGGGATACCTTTACCGTTCTCTTTCAGGGATTTGAGGAGAACTGAAATGTTTCGTGCA